CCTCATTACTCTGCATCAGTGTGTCTCCCTCATTACTTTGCATCAGTGTGTCTCCCTCATTACTCTGCATCAGTGTGTCTCCCTCATTACTTTGCATCAGTGTGTCTCCCTCATTACTCTGCATCAGTGTGTCTCCCTCATTACTTTGCATCAGTTTATCTTCCGCATTAGTTTGTATTAGAAGTGTTCTCATTATTGTGTATCAGGCAGTTCTCTTTATAGTTTAATAGTGAATCTTCCTCAAATTGCATAGCATTGTGTTTTCCTCATTTTTCTATGCCAAGGAGTTCTCCTCACTGTTGCTGATCAGTGTGTTCTCCTCATTATTCTGCATCATGGAGTTTCTGTAGACTGATCCTTTATAACTATGTAGCAGTGTATTGTCCTCATTCTATGTATACAGTCCCTTTTTAAGCTGTTAAGCTCTGTACCCTCAACAAGCGGTTGCATGTGAATTAGACTGAATTGAAATCTGAATACTGCATGGATCCATTTAAATTGTTGCAGGAAATGTAACGGCCAGGGTGTGCAAATACCACCCAAAGCATCAGTTGGCATACCCAAATGAAATTGATTATTTTTTTCTAATGCGGGGGTGGCGTTCCTTATTTCTGGTACACACTGGTCATAGGCTTGGCCTTCAAGACATTTAAGCAATGACTATTAGACAATACTTCATTGTACTTGAGTTCCTGCACACCTTACAATGGCACAATCAAAGTCACAATCAAACCAAGTTTCTACAGACATACTACCGCATTTTAACCACACTCCCACAAACGGGAAGGACCTTTACACAATGACTGTGAACTGATGCTTCCATAACGTCTGAAGCAAAGCATTTATTCAACATACTTTCAAGAGGGAATCTGCTGCCTTTACAAGTCAAGGGATCCCGTTCCTTCAGAGACAATGAGAAATCTGTGGTGACCTACTTCAGTGTTTCCAAACCCAGTATACAGGGACCCCCACACAGTCCATGTTTTTACTCCCTCCCTGCTCCTGTTAAGCAAAAATGTGGAGTGTCTGGCAGGGCGCTGGGAGGGAGCAAAAACGTGGAACGGCTCGGGTCCCCGAGAACCGGGTTGGAAAATACTGGTCCACATGATCAAATTAGGCCTCTAGTGCCAAAGCGTCTGTGCTGTGGAAGTTTTCTGTTTCCAGCCAGGCGAGGCCCTTAACCCCCAGCTCCATAGGTGTCACTGCAGGTGGCTGCCCTTCACTACAAAGCTTGTTCTCACCTACATATGTGTCTGTGTGTCATGGATAGCGAGATGGGGGAGGCAAAAAGAGAATTTCCTCACAGGGAACAATAAAGTGTCATTATTATTATTATTATTATTATTATTATTATTATTACTGCTCACTGTTTTAATTATAGCATTGAAATCTCATGTCATCATGAGTGGGTGGGTGCATTCATACAGCCTGAAATATCACTGTTGCAGTTCTGGTTTAAAAAAAACCTGCAATTGGATCAGGGTATAGTTCCTGAAAACCAGAACATTGTCCTTGTTTTTTCACAATTCAGGTTCTGCTGTCTGTCACATGATGATAACCCAGACCAGTCTACATGTGTGGTATCTGAGGACCCCAAGCAAAGCTTGCTGGGTCATAGAAGCCCGTAATTTAATGTGACACCAGACCGATGCTGCATCATGGGGCAAGATGGGGGGTTGAATTATCTAAGCAAAACAAAGCAGACATAATGGACACATTTAATTATAAAAAGGCGAAATCTGGCAAATATTTAAGCACAGCTGAGGAAGTTAGACCAGAGCTTAGCATCACCCAGCACCAGCGGTCGGGGTGTGTGTGTGTGTGTGTTTGCGTGTGTGTGTGTGTGTGGATGGGGTTTAAGGGTGCACATGGCAGATCTACAGCTGGGGATCAGGAAGGAGAGGGTGCGGGTGCAGGAAGAAGCCATCAGGAGATCTTACCGCCAATGGTGGCAGCAGACAGGGATCCTGGGCAGGTTGGACGGCAGGATTAGAAAGGGAGAGGGGGCAGTTATCCAAAGCAAAGGGGCGGAGGCAGAGAATCATGCCAGTAAATTAAACAAACAGCAAAAGGAAGCCAAAGAACACAAACCACAGAGGGTGGGATAAATAGCACAAGCGGCATAGCAGACATTGCTGAGGGTGAGGCAAATAGTAGTGATGGCCAAATGAAGGTTCATGAACCAATTGCTGTATTTCCTGACACCACTAGATGGCGATCTCTATTCAAAAATATGGCTCAATTCATGCTGCAATGCAAACCAAGAGCACCATATACTGGGGTCAAAAATACAGAAAATGGTTCATTAAGCTTCATTTGGCCATCACAAGCAAATTGTGTTGTGAGAGGGACGAATAGCACAAAGGGTGGGATGATGAGCAGAGGCCCAGATTGGTGGAAGAAATGATATGAAGCGAAGGGAGAGTAGCAGCAACTTGAGAAGGTGAAGCATAAATATGTGCAGTGACATGTGACTGATATACCAGAACATGGAAGGTATTCAAACTATGGTATACGATCACACACATATATGGAACTATCTCTGTGGGGAATTCCCATCGACTCCTATTCTAGTGCAATTAACAGTCCCTAGCTACACAGAAAAATAGATGGAAAAAAATAATTTTACTGCTTTTTCTCTTTTAAAAATTATTGAATGCAAAAGCACTGTCTCATGGGCATGTCCCCACAATGAGCCTTGCTTTTCTGCATAGACAGAAAGTCCGAAACACAGATGAAGCCTGAGAACACATTGACGTACAACCATACTGTTCACAACTCAAAAGCACACGGATTCATGGACACGGCTAATCAGAATCGAATGCTGTTTTACACATCATCTAAAAGCAGACACAGTATGCTGCAGCCATCCCACTGCTATGGCCAACAGATGGGCCATGAAAAGCGAAAATGGGGTCATGTACACAATTTCGGCTAAGAAGAACACATCCTTAATCTACTTAATTCCGATTTCCACTCAAAGATGCTGGCCTGCATTAAGCGCTCAAGAAGTCGGATGATGCTCCAACTCATGATGGGAACTCCACAGTGGAGTGGGATTACCAGTCCCTGTCAATCATGCCCTGGTTTAATCCAATAGGAACAAATGAGGAGCCAATGGGAATTGGATTAAAGCATCATGTGACTGACAGCATATGATAACCTCGACCCCTGTGGAATTCTCTGCACATCCTCAGCACTGTCTGAGGAGATATCAGTATGAATATACACATTTTGGGGCGCTACCATGTTTAGATACAAGAGCTGCGAGCTGCCTAGCAACACTGGGAAATGTAAACGAGCCACGTACTGTCTTGGCGTAAGACACAAGTTGAAAAATTTAAATGCTTATTTTCTGGAGAAATATTTGGAAAATACTGATTCATATGCGGTGCAGGTCAGCTGGAACTCTGAGTGTCCTAACCCTGTCCCCCCCCCCTGAGGCCAGGCTGTCAGAGGGTGTAGCAGGGTACATTTGGAGGTCAGTGCTGGTAGGTCTTCAATAAATCCTGCGGCAGACATGGGTGTTGACCTCCATAAACACCACACCGCAGTCGACCCATGCAAAAAGAAAAACACAGGCGAACAGGCACACGCGAGCGCACACACGCAGCGCGACACAACCACCAACACGAACGACCGGTGATCCCCTAACAGCGAGCACAGGAACACAGACACAGAACACAGAGAGCAGAATACCTGGCATAAAATCGAAATCCTCCGAACCTAGAGGTACAAAGCTTATTGTTAGGATGCTGGCAGAGTCATTAAACACGACGGGTTATGGCACAATCATCATAAATGTAAAGAGTAGAGGAGGCTTATTGGTCTACGGTGTGTGTGTGTGTTTGTGTGTTGGTGGGGGGGGGGCGGTTTCTTACGCTGCGACTGGGACACTGGCTTGCCATGGTTACGTCCTCGTGAGTCCCCCTGACCTCCAACAGCCCCCCCTGCCACGGAGAGCGTCTGCCTGGCACGCAGCCGACCTGAGGGGACAGACAGACACAGCATTACCTTCTCTTCAACCACCAGGGGGCAGCATTGACCCTTAGCACCGGAGACTAGAGGGAACAAACATGGGATTTATAAATCAACTCACTCGTGTGAGTTAGCATGCGACACACTGAGTATGAGAGGTCAGATGGGATGAAGAGATCAGAGAAAGAAAATGATGGTCGTTATTCATGGGACAGGACAAAGGGCGAGATGTTCTTACCGTCCATCTTATCGGACGTGTCATCTTTAGCAGCAGGAAAGAGAAGAAGGGCAGGAGTTGAGACGCACTCGCAAACACATTAATGCTTATTTATATTTATAAGCACTGATTCAGGAACACATTCAAGGGAGAGAAAGAGTAGTTCAGAGTAGGAAGAATTAAAGGGGAAGGCAGTGGTCACTCGGTATCCGGCTTAAAATGTCTCACTAGTTCTTCAGAGAGCACAGTATTGACCTTCACAGACATCTCTGTGGACAGCCCAGGCATCGCCCTGAAGGGAGCTACTAACCAGGAGTGCTAAGACAATCTTCACGTTGGTGTAAAACTACACAATTATGATTGACAAAGTGTGTCAGCTTAGCCATTTCAAAACCGCTCCTAAAGTCACCCCAATATGTGTAGCGACCGTCCAATAGACCCATGTATTTTTTTACCTTTCCAATACCCCACCTTGTTTGGATAATCAACACCTCATTGAGTTATTTAACTAATAAAGTTAATTAATCAACTAAACCGGTGGTGAAATTTAACAGATACATTTAATGACTGTGGTGTCCCTGAGGTGAAGTTTGGGATCAACAGTAGTGTTCTAGAGGTCTAACGAGATATTAGTAACTTTTGGGGGAAGAGAAGAAATTATTGTTCATTTTCTATTGTGCTACTCTTAATTTGCATATGTGCTAATGTTCTAATAGCCTTAAACATTTTCCTAAGACTACTGTACATGGTCCAAACTACTGTCATTCAGATCAAGCATTTTTAATTAAGCTGCTGGCTTTGTACGTGTGAATGAAGTATCAGTTTGACAGGATTAAGCTGGGCTGAGGGATTCTCCCGGCATTTCTCCAGCGTTCTCACGGCCCCGCGTGAGCCGGGACAGTAGGCTGGCGCGGAGTCGTACCCAGAGAGCTGTAGGACCCCGCGGGCAGGTGGCTCGTCCCTCCAGGCTGCCCGACACGGGCCTTGGCACCGGAGGCAGCGTTGACATCGACGTCGCTGCGGGAACGCTGCAGCGATCCGGGCGACCCCGGGGACTTGGCACCCACAGGGCCTGCGGGGGGAGAGAGAAGACCGAGTGAATGATGGTGAAAGATGCTGGATATCCAGCTGACCCGGGGTCAGTCGCTGAGGCCATGCTGCATGTTCGTTTTAGGAACAGGAGGTAATGGTGAATCCATGGGGCGTAACTTCCAGCGTTTTCCTCACTATATCTAAATGAGGAAGACTAGTCACCCAATCATAGACCTTCAGCTGCCATAAAAATAAGCTGATTGCTGTCATCGCATTCTTCAAACAATTACCTCTTCCTGGGGTCGCAGACCACTTTGTGGAGAGAGGTCGGCTGTAATAGAGATTGACAACCAATGAGTACATATTTAATTATTCATCACATAATTGAATCCAAGGTGAATCCCTTAGTTTGCAATGTTTACTCATTCGTACAACATGGCGGCTATTACTGAATCTCTGAGTCTCAACTATACAAAATCACAGCCCTGTGTCCTGCTGGTCACAACTCTCGTTCCTTCTGTTAACCCTTGCTCAAACTCCTTAGCTCATGGTGAACACTACGCAGACACTGGTTCATAGGATCATTGGTTAAGTTAATGTATATTTTTAATGGGCAGTGTGTAATGAGACGATCATTCTGGGGACACAGTGAATATCACAGCACTGCTCTTTGAAACAGGTATCAAGGGAAATAAGGCAAACATGGGCGTGACCTTCCTAAGCTGACACCACACTATCTGGTCTGGAATCTTGTGCATTTACTCCTCCGGTAACGAGATAAAGGGCGATTGTTAGGAAAAGTAAAGAAAAGCAAAAAAAAACGAAATCTCAACAAATTCAAGACACGATGAGGCCTCCCACTGCTCCACAAAACAAAGGAAAAGGTCACAGGGAGGATCTGTGAGGACGGTATTCCTGGAATCCGACATCCTTTCCAAAAATGACTGCTCCGCGCTGACGCACCAAGCAGAAGGCTAACTCAGCTCCCCCCTTATACTGGAGACCCCCAAGAAAGAGGGTTTCTTTTGAGAATACGTACGCAGTTGTCCCTTCACCTTTAAAGAAGCCGGACGGCTTTGGGGGTGCTTAATGATTCATATCGCAAAGCAAACAGTAATGATACAAAGCTGTATAAGTAGGGCAAGGATCATGTGACCAGCTTTAGACTAATGACCATCACCACTATGGCTAACAAACTGTTGGAGTTCCCAGTTCCAGCTTCCAAGCCAATAGGAAGCCAAATTAGATTATACTAGCTGAGCTAAATTGGGATATAACAGGGCTGTGTCCTGGATGTGTATATGCGTGGAGTCACTTACTTGAGGCTTTCCTGAGAGCTAGAGGAAGAGCGGTCGGACTGTGGCAATGAGGCGGCGCTGCCGGAGCTACGTAGGCAGGACTGCAAATTACGTTGGTATGACGCTTCCAGTGAATGGTAAAGGGCATCCGCCTCGGAGGGGAAGTGCTGCCGCAGACCCCAGTATGCCCTGTAGGGGGCGATAGGGCACCACAACATCCCTGGTTATACACATGCTTATAGTTACTGCACATTACTACGGCACACGGGTAACTGATTGAGAGTCTCACTTCCGCGCCTCCACTCGGGCCTCCGCATCTGCATCGCGAATTCCCTTCTTTATACTCTCCGCCAGAACAGCGGCATGCCTGTCAATGAGGACAGAGAGCGTCATGGGCAGAGTGCATCAACACAAGAAAAGGGTTATGGAAGTGCGGGTCAATCTGAAGACAGGGATTTACACCTAAAATAACCATATGCGAGAAGCTGAGGTCCAGGAAGCACAAGTCCAGACTAAGGTTTTGTTTTAACCAGTCAGCTAAGTCTGGAGAGTCATAGTCACAGAGTACAAACAAAAGCATTTCAGACAAACAAACCATCCAACCATAGTCAAATGCATAGATTGCCAGTCAGTCCACATTTTTGCTCCCTAGGGAGTTGGGAGGGAGCAAAAATGTGGACTGTCTGGCAATCTGGTTGTGATTATTCTCAAGTCAATTTGTACTAATACTCTCTGTACTTACGTAGTTGGATATGAATCAGCTAAAATCAGTGTTTCTCAATCCAGTCCTCGGGGACTCACATACAGTCCACGTTTTTGCTCCCTCCCAGCCCCCAGAGGAGTAAAAATGCGGACTGTCTAGCAGGGAGCTCAGAGGGAGCAAAAACGTGGACTAGCTGTGGGTCCCTGAGGACCGGATTTGGAAACACTGAGCTAAATAACTGTGGGTGGGCGTGTACTAATGTAGGTAATACTAAATCTCCCTACCCAAGCACATAAATCACATTCTCAGTGATGGTAACTCTGTTCTTAACCTGAGCACGATATGGATGCGCGCAGAAAGGCTGGTGGAGCTGCATTCTCAGAAGGGAGCCTTACTTTTCCAGGGAGTGCGTGTGCCACTCCTGAAGCAGCAGATCCAGGAAGTCGTAGCATCGCCTACAGATTCCCAGGGGAGGAGAGAAAAGCAGGTCAGCAGCTAGCAGGCCAATCAAAACCAAGCAACATCTCATGTCTAGCCAGCCCCCACCCTGATGTATTCCGTCCCTTAGCTTTTTCACCCTTTATTACTCTGCACATGAATGCCTAATGTGATGCAGAATGCATATAGGTACTTCCTCTGGCTGGGAGCTCCTAGATCAGGGGTGGGGAATCTTACCCAGAAAGGGCCGCTGTGTGTGTACGGGTTTTCGCTGCAACTCCTTAATTAGATTAGTAATTAGAGGACTGATTGGCTGAGGAGTCCTCACACCTGGGTTTGAACAGCTGACCTAAACGTTATCCCAAAAACCTGCACACACCAGCCCTTTGCGGATAAGATTGCCCCCTCCCCCCACCACCCTACAGAGATTGTGGCAGCTATTATCAAACTGAAGGTGACCCTCCCCCTCCAACCCATATTAGACAGCGGTGATGGGGGGGGGGGGGGGTAAAGGAATGCTGTGTTCAGCTGACATGGGATCTGTGAGGTGTGTGTGTTAATTACGGAGTGATATTTAAAGACTTCCCGTACACTGTCAACATGATTCAAGCACCTTCATTAATGGAAGGATTCCAGCTACACCCTGAGTCTAAGGCGGCTTCCTTCTGACAGAAATACACCTCAACTAGTGGATGTTTCATGTGATTAAGCTCTCAGTAGGGTCCTCCTGTACAAGAACTTCTCATCTGTATTAAATACTGTAAAAAACATACATAATAACATGTAACACTCTGTAAATACAATGGAACAGAGGTTCTGTAATGGTGTTCCAGAATATTCACTGTGTTCCACATCCTTCTGACCCTTTTTATTCTCTGTACTGGAATATGACAGTTGCCAGCGTTCTGTCTCTTTGTACGAGAAGCTGATAAGCTGTTGTACAGTGAATAGCTTGGGATGATTCCGCTTGCACTCTAGTAAGGCCATCCATCCGTATGGTAAGGAGGCGCTGGTACGGTAATGACGGGTTGCCATGGTTTCAGCGGGCCGGTGGAGTAACGACGGGGTTGATATGGTAACACTGCGTCGGCATGGTGAGTGGTGGCACCCGGGTGGCATCGGTCCAGGCTTCAGATGGCAGAGGGGCCCAGGAAGCGAGGATGGAGAAAGAGAGTGAGTACTGACCTCCTGACGGCCACGGACTTGGACGTGCAGTTGCTGGTGATGAGCGGGATCAGCCGAGGGACGTGCGTGTGCTGCGGGGTGGGGGAAGGGTGGAAAAAGCAGCAGATTAGCCCTCCTGCTGAGCTGAGTCCGCCCACGCAAACTAGCAGCCCCTCCATACCATCATCGCAGTTGTGCAGCATAGCAGCAAATTCCCTTTCAGGCGGCCTTAAATCAAATTAAAACAATTACATTTATGACTTCCTGCTTCCTGCTGTTTTTTTTCCCCAGACAGTGAAGTGCGCTGCTTCACGTTTTGCGGTGCTAAAAAAGTGGGCGTGGCCAACGAATCAGATCCTGGTTCGCTTGAACCTGCAGAGTTTCGGTCCCGTGCCAGAATACCTCCTGGCTACTACAGACGTCCCACATCTTCTGCAAACTGATAGCAGCTCCCTGATCCCCGCACATGATGCACAGTGTCCCAGAAATCTTTCGTTCTTTTATTTAGTGGCGGCAATATTAGAAAATTTTACTGCCGACACTGAAGCACCCCCCCCCCCAGTCAGCAAGCACTGGGCTTGGGTGTTTAGGTGGTACCTAATTTATATTTTTATGACAGCCCACATTTTTTAATGCATGGTACAGACAGTACAGTTAACAGTATTTTGACAGTATTTTAAAAAGCCACAAGTACTATTCTGGTATTTCCCTATGAACTTTGCCTGATATTATTATCATGGTAATATCGTGCAAGGCGTGGCCCACTCACCCGGATGATGTAGCGTATCGCCGCCACGCCCGACGTGGCCATCACCCTGGCGCAGTTCGGGATCAGGTTAAACAGGACGGGGACGATGGCTTCTGCCCCATGGTCAAACTTGTTGCCCAGGACCGTGGAAAGATGGCTGTCGCAGCGAAGAAAACAGGGCAGCGAGACTCAGCACCCGAGCAACATAAAGAGCCGTTCAGCTACAGTTAAAATTACGTAACAACCACCAAGCTTTTTAATACCTAAATATTATTGGTTCCTAAGTTCCTTTTTTATGCCTAGCTTTTCCCTACTAAGTACAATCTTATTCTCCTTTTATCTACTGCAACTTGTTAACATTTTATTTTGTACTTTTTAATTTTGTATCATTTCTGCTTTATACTCTGATGATTATTCATTTACTTTTTGTTCTTGGTATTCATTTTATTTCATTTTATTCCTTTTGTCTCTTAAACTGATGTCATCATTTCTACAAAACACTTTGGGCTACATGAAGGGTGCTATACAAATATTAGTTATTATTATTATTATTATTGAAGCATTTTTGTACATGCCCAGAACACTGTCACAAACATGTGATATATAGGAAGTGAAAACGCGGGTAACCTTTGACCCGGAAGCACTCACGCCACAGTGATGCAGGCCTCGCGCACCACTTGGGAGCGCAGATCCTTGGCTGACAGCTTGAAGGCTCCGTCCAGCACGCGCAGGTGCTGGTAGAAGCAGTCGTAGTTGGCTGCCCCGGCCACCAGCAGCGAGCGCACCTTCTTCAGCTGCAGGCGAGGAAGAGCAGGGGAGGGGTTGGCTGATGGAACAGGCCGTGATCACGGTACCTCGCCAGCAGTCCCGCTTCCTCGGGCCAGCTGTCGGCGGTTGGTGAACACTGCTCTTTGGGTCTGAAACCTGTGATCGGTGCCAGCTCAGAGCACAAGCGCACTCTAATCACTGGGGCACGACAGGGGACAAACTGGCAGCCGATCGAAGGGGCAGTTACCTCGGAGGACACTGGCAGTGCTATCGCTAATGAGCTAAGATGTACGGTGGCAGTGAGGTTCACAGGAAAGCCCCCAGAAAAAGCACTGAGCTGAACTAGTCTTCTTTGCACTCTGGGTTTCACTCAGCTTACTAGTTCGGATCGTTTGTCAATTTGTTTGAGGAAATTCAAGTTATGTGGGCTATCCTATAACATAAGGGGCCCTACCAACAACCCAAAGAATCAATTTTATTCACAAGTGAGGCTCTTTGACTGCTACACCCTCTTCTGGCTGCTCACCGCATTTGTCCGCTGGTCCCAGTCGTGCTTGTCATCAGACAACACCTCGCGAATCTTATTCAGGTTGTCCTCTAGGTCCCTGGTGGAGTAGATCTGTGGGACCGAGACAGTTATATCAGCAATGTTTCATTGAAGCTGGAGCTGGCTTTGCATGCCCACGCAGGGTGTCCTGTTGTGTACAGACAATGCTAGACTTCGTATCAGTCCTCTACTATCTCCCTTTACTTTAGCTAGAGTCTGATGCGGTGGTGTAGGAGAGAGTTTGACATCAGGGAAGACACTGCTTAATAATTTAAGTACAGAGGTCTATTTATTAGGGAGAAGAATAAAGCCAAATGAAATATTTGGGGGGGGGTACACACACACACACCCCATCAAATTTGCTTCCTGCTGCAATCAGCTACTTAGACTAATATTCAGTCTCCGTCACTCTGACCTTGCAGGTACTCTTCAGGCGGGCACTGATTTAGAAAATATCTCGTTTATATCCTGGAATAAAAGAGGAATCTATCTTCATGCCAATTTGAAGACCAGTCTGGTATAAGTCTTTCATATTGAACTGTCTTATTATAATCCAGTTTTTGCCCGGTCGCTGTGCCGGGCAGCTCGGCTGGGCACCGGTGCTGCATGACCGCTACTCTCTGTGGTCAATGACTCATGGCTGAGAAACACTGAACCAGCAACACTGCAGCCCACCAGAAAATTAAGTTAAAAAAAAAAAAAGTTGATCTGTGACTGTACCAAGGACGGAGAATGTAATGGCATAAAAAAGGGAAATTTAACCTCTGGGGCACTCCGAGAGGATAATACAAAAATGTTTCTATGCCTGCGCTTTTTCTAGAATCATCTCTGCCTTAAAGGAGTTTGCACAAGATTTGCCCTCTCCAGGGAATTTCACAGAATGCATTACAAATCAAGCAGCGGTGCTCACATGCACGGTGGGCACATCCGTGAAGGCCTTGGCGAAATCATCTTCATCCACAGCCCCGGCACCTTCCCTGGACTGGGCTGCAAGAGGAAGAGGGGGCAGGCTTAGACTGGCATCATCAGTGTGGGGCTGGCTGGCTCACAATTTTACGTGGCTTTTATGTGGCTTTTCCATATCCTTACTGCACTTTTGCAGCTACCAGTAATCTGAGGGAATATTTCTACAAAAGAATGAATAACCAGCTGATGAAAAGGAACCTGTTTCAATGTACATGCCACGAAATCTGGTAAAATCAAAAGAACACAGCTTTTTACACAACAAATGAGACATTTTCCTTTCATGGTGTGTAAAATGCTGGCAAAAAAAAGACAAATGATAAGCAGCTTCTATAAAGGAAAAACGGGTCACAATCCTGTCTAGTTGTTACTCAGCTCAGCGGCTCCATCATTCATGGGCAAGAAAATTAGCTTACCTGTGGAAAAAACACTCAGATACGGACAACAATGGATAGTAAGTTCAATGCCCACATTCAGAAATGTCAGCAGTTTTTCTAACAATTACTGAATGTTCTAAAGAGTGAAACTGTCCATCACAGATCATATTCTTACTGTGACACACAGAAACCAGTGACATACGTCTGTACATTCTAGTCCTATGTGGCTCAAGTCTGGGGGCATATTTATTAATGGGATGCTATGCTTTGCCGGTTAGCTAATGAGCTTGTCTGTCAGCTGCGCACTTCCTGACTGGCTAATGAGCTTGTCTATCAGCTGCGCACTTCCTGACTGGCTAATGAATTTGTCAGTCAGCTGATCCCCATGGGACTGGCTGGCCTTACACTGGGTAGGATAAGTGCACAGACTCTTAAGCATGGAGCACTTACGGAGTCTGAGTGGGGAGCAGCAGCGATGCCAGTCGCGCCTTATTGATATCTAACCAACCAACAAATGCCCTAGCCACCTTAAATCAGTCTTCGGATGAATTTGTAGCCTTTGTCTCCAGTGGAAAGATTTGTCAATATAAATCAAGCAAACAATGTACACTGATACACACACATATTGACACACAGACACACCAGTCCAACACAGGCATAAACCCATATTTTAGGTTTGGTTTAGAAGCTGCAAGATTTCTGTTTGTCTTATAGTGATCCTTTTTGTTGACATCACGCCGACGCATGAAAACCAAGACCATTGAAACTGGTCAAAATAAAAGTTAAAATTTGTTTTTGAATACTGTTCGGAAAAGTCAAGAAAGACTGCAATGGACTAGGGTGATTCATTCATTAGGTTTATCTGATTAGGAAATGATCAAACATGACTGGAAATGCATACTGATTACTGATATCTACCCCTGCACATTTATTAATCTTAACGTATTTCCCATTTAATGTTGGTGCAAGTAGACTGTTGATTGCGAGATGCCTCGTGTTTCACCGTACTCTGTTCTCTGGTTGTTCTACGTCGCTGCAAGGACCGCGCCAAGACAAATTCACTGCGAGTGTGATCCCACATGGCCAGTAAACCTCATTCTGATGGTTTTGTTTATGGGTGTCAAGACACTTGCAATAAAGTCAATGCAGCTCAGCCTCCTTCTGTTCAACGCCAGGTACAGTAACTCCAATCCTGCCCCTCAGTGACATTTTGGCAGCTCTCCTCTGTGGAGACAATGGGAGACCCACGGCCAGCCTGACATCCAGACTGAAATGGCTGAAACATCACAGAAACAGAGCCTACTGAAGGGGTGTCGTAACGCCCAGAAGCCAACAGAAATTTCATTGGCCCCTGGGCAGTTTCTCATATTGAGCTGTGCCTGTCTTTCCATGTCTGCTGCTGACAATGTTACTGAAGTAGAGCTGCTTGAGTTTGGGGGTGGGGGACGGGGGACGGGGGCTCCAATGCAGTGATGCATGGTTGCATTGCATTGCCCTGGGACACTAAACTGCAGCAGAACAAAGAAGTTCAATGGTTTCACAGCAAAGTTCTATTAACCTTCAAAACTACACCACTCTTGTAATTAATATCGCGTGCTTGAAATGTGTCAGTCTTTACTGCAACATAATTACCCTTCATACCTACAGTTTGCACCCTTCCCTTTAATTCAGTCTGCCTGAATTGTGGCAGAATGAGGAATTTCAGCATCTCCACACTAGCGGCTGATCACCCTTCATACATACAATTTGCGCCCTTCCCTTTAAATCAGTCTGCTTGATATGTGGCATAGTTCCTTTCTGACACTGGAAGAAAATCAGATCATTCCTCAGCAGGTGCGGCACACAGCACATGCACCGCGACGTCCTTCTACAGAAGAGAACCACAGGAAGATTTATTTTTCCATCAGGGGCGATTATAGGATGCGAACAGAGGGACTCAGGCCCCCTGGAGAAATATGGGGATACAAAATGAATACGAAAATACGGCAGAAATCACTAAATGGTCTTATTAAAAAACACAAAAAAATTCAGGGGCGCTGAGACAAAATATAGGAGGCCTGAAGCTTCCCTAAATAGGATCTAGAACAACCTATGGTTTCCATCAAAGATGGTGGTTATACAGTAAGGCTGTTTCTGTACTTGGGTGCGTGTACGCATGTCTGTCTGACATGAGCATGCGCAGGTGCATGTATGCATGTCTGTCTGTCTGACATGCGCAGGTTCGTGTTTGCATGTCTGTCTGACATGAGCATGCGCAGGTGCGTGTACGCATGTCTGTCTGACATGATGATGCGCAGGTGCGTGTACGCGTGTGTGTCTGACATGATGATGCGCAGGTGCGTGTATGCATGTGTGTCTGACATGAGCATGCGCAGGTGCGTGTACGCATGTCTGTCTGACATGATCATGCGCAGGTGCGTGTACGCATGTCTGTCTGACATGATCATGCGCAGGTGCGTGTATGCATGTCTGTCTGACATGAGCATGCGCAGGTGCGTGTATGCGTGTGTGCGTGTATTGCAGTGTGTCTCACCTCCCGTCCGGCTGGGGCCCAGGCTGCTGGCCCTCCGAGGGTTGTTACCTGGGTTCCCAGGCTTCTTGGCCGCAGACAGTTTACCAGCTGCCTGAGAGGAAGAGGCCTCCTCCTGCGCCTCCTCATCCTCAAAGTTTTTGTCTGGACACAAGGAGAGAGACGCCCGTTTGTACGAGGGGCCGGGGACATGTGCCCCCTCCCCCCGAGGCCGGACAGGGGGTCTTCGCGGTCTATGGAACGCATGCTGTAGTGACAGCATGGCTTCGGGGTCTTGAGAAAGATGCACACAAACTGCTCACGGATACAGAGCATTTAAATGCACCTGTATCACGTTCAGGCAAGCAGTCTGCAGCAAAAAGTGCCTTTAAATGCCCCCTAGATCACAGCAGTAACGTATCACTCTAAATGATCCTACTGCAGCCCTTGTTGACCATGGTAAGTAACGGATCAATCGCAACAGCTCCTCTACAGGCCTTAGTAACACGTACAAGTAACGGATTTCCTTAGTCTGTGAATTTAAAGACCCAGTGACACATACAAGTAGCGTATTGGGCCAGACTGATGTCACATGCCAAACAACGATTTGGACCAAACTACACACTTTATGGCCCAGAGACACATACTACTAGTGTATTGGACCATACTGTACATTTAGTTCCTGTACTGCGTTCAAGAAACATATCTGCAAACTGCACCTTTAAGGCTCTGAAACCATATAAATAAGATTTCTGTCACAATCACACCTTTAAAAAATATGTAACACGTACAATTAACATACTAGTTATAATAATAATATCAAAGTCCCCAGTAAGACATACATGTAACATATCTGTCACAATCACACGTTTAAAGGTTCCGTAGCGCATTCCAGTAACATGGCGACCAGAACAGCACCTTTAAATCTCTCTGTAATGCACAGAAGAAGGTATTGGCCAAAATCACACCATTAAAGGTTACCGTGACACATACAACCCACATATCTGTCAATCTCAGTTAAGCTTTTCAAGGTCTCAGTAATATCCACACACTGCATATCGGCCAATAATGTTGTTATTTCACATGCAGTCACACACACACGCAAACGCTGAGCGAAACATGCAATTGAGTCACCTGAGGATCTGGACGTCTCTGTATATTTTATTCCTAAGCTGTCTAAGCATATCAGCCCCTCCCCACCATTCAGAGACAATAACCACGTACGCACACACAAGTGTATGCACGCACAAATGCCATCCCCTGTCACCGTGACAACCTCCCACATCCAGCATATAGTCTGCAATGGTCTGAAAACCTCCATGCAAAACAAGCATCCCCTCCTACAAAGACATGGCCAGGTTGCCCCCAAACCCCACACCCTGCTCTGACTGCCATCCACGCTCAGCTGATTCGGGATCAGCTTGCCCTGCCCTGCTGCTAACCCCTAATGCCGCAAGCTAAGCGGTGAGGCTGATCCAGAGTCAGCCGATGCAGACATGATGCACACGATGCACCTGCACTGCCCACACCCAGCCCAGCACTCACAGTCGCAGATCCTCTGGCAGATGAGACGCCTCATGCCTGGTTTTTAGGTAGGGTGGGGTTGATCCAGGCGCTGGTCAGCTGCCCCTGAGCCCCCCAGACTGGCCTACATGTCCAAGCCCAGCCCCGGAGAGAAGCCAGTCCAGTGCGCTCCTATACAGCCTCCGCTTCACAGATTCTCTGCCCTATCCGGCATTTTCTTTCTCTCACCCCCTCCTCTTTCTGTTTCTCTCTCTCCCTCACTCCCCCTCTCCCTCTGCTTCTGTCTATCTCTCTCTCACTCTGTCTCTGTCTCCCATCCAGCCCACGGAAGGCAGGCAGCCAATCAGGAGGCTGGTGACATCATGCTGCAGCCAGTGCTGTTTCAGAGCCGTGCAGCTCTGCCGCATACCAATGAGCAGCAGGCTCTGGGCGGAGCCGTCCAGGGTGCCGTGACCCCATTGGACGGCTGCGCAGAGGCAACCTGCCTGTCAAACGCCGGAGAGGCAGACAAAGACAAAGACTCCCAATGCACTGTGCTGTTGCAGCCTGGTGCACACGGAAGACACACCTACACACCGCGCATACGGATCACATACAGCGCATACATATTCAGCTACACTCTCAGGCGTAAACACAGCAAGCTTAAAGACAACAAAAACAGAACACACAGGCATAGCAGCCACATAAACACACAGACATATACACAAACAGCTCACATATATACATACAGACAACAAAATAAATTAGCAAACACTTAAACATACGCAGTCAGACCAGACAAACAACATGCAGCAAATGACAGAAAAACACACAAACACACAAACAACATGGCAGCAAATGACAGAAAAACACAGAAACACACAAACAACATGGCAGCAAATGACAGAAAAACACAGAAACACACATATAAAACTGAGGTTATCCTTATGGGGACCAGAACAACATCAAGATAAGAGGTTTTGGGGACATTCGATTCCCTCAACGTAAGGGATACCTGAACCACACACAGCCCAGATAGCACCATATCGTTGTTTCAACGTTGAATTATAGTTAAATGCGTTGAATTATGGTCAGTGTTAAATTATCAACGTTGAAACTGAATTGATTTTTGGTCAGATTTTCAACATTGAAAAATTGATGGTTGGCAAAACCTTGATTCAATTTTGATATGAAGTGGAAGATTGAAGATCAACGTTGTTTCGACCTTTTTGTCTGATATGGAATCAATGTCATTTCAACATATGTGTGCTATCGGGGACAGGCAGACACACACATACACACACACACACACACACACACACACACCTACAGCTATAAACGAGAACATCATCTAAAACATCATCTGGCTCAGAGACTGAGGTATGGTTCTGAGACCAAATGCCTTTAGGTTAGGATTTTTGCTCTGGAAATGCGTCATTTTATAAAACCAGGATAGCAAGGATAGCACTCATATGAGGGAACCTGGCCTTATTGAAAATGCTGCATGATAATTGGTGGATGGATTGGAATGGTGACATACTGACAAAAGGGAGAACTCGCTCTCCTGGACCCAGCGCACTAAGCCCGAGACCAGCCCCAAAGGCAACGAATTCCCCCAAACAGCAGCTTGTTGCTCTGCAGACCTTGGCCACGGATCTTCAGTCCACCGCTCGCGATTACCCCATATCCTACAGTCCGGCCATGGGGGACAGCCGGCCAATTTCAGCTCGGTGCCAAACAACGTCCTGGCCCACTGAGACCGCGACTGACAGCTGGGAAGTCGTTCTTTAATTATTTGCACTACACTCCTTTCAACCATGACAATGTGGATCAGAACAACTTAGACCACACTTATTCAGACTGTCCTCATTTGGACCGAGTTTACTTGTGTTGTTTAAAGCCTTGCTGTTCCCTGTGAAATTATGTTACTTAACAGGAGTTGTGATCCTTGACACTATAGTTGAAGTTATAGAACCACCTCCACTTGTGTTTTTGACTGTGCACACCCATTTGAAGCATAATTATCAAGACTGTGGGTACTTGTACCATGCTTGTTCCATGATGCAAGCTCAGCTGAGCCATATTGATTTATACAGTACCACCCAATAGAACCTCAGGATATGGATACACAGAAACCTGACCACAGGAGAGGAGCCAGGTCAACCTCCACTAGGCCAAAGGCACAGACCGTCACTATAGCAACAGCTTGGGACCAGCTGGCCAAGCTATCAAACCGCCCAGTGGCTAAAGTAATCTTTATGGTGAGAAAGAGCATCCTCATTAGCACCGGCAATAAATGAAACTGAAGACGGCGGTGATGAGACTTTTAACACAACGCTGTCTGCAGTAATCAGCGTAGCCCAGCTAAAACACCAGCTTGAGTATTTTATTCTCCGTGCTTCTGGGATTCATTGCCATATACTCAAAGGGTTGCATTAGCGTATGTTTCCATATGCTTGTCTGACAAGAACTCAATGTAGATACCACCAGGTGTAGCACATGCACTTAGAAGGAGAATTATATAAGCTGACAGGTGTAGGGGTTGGGAAGTCTACAGAGACAGCACTTATCCATCCATCTGTCCATTCATTCATCCATCCATCCATCCATCCATTCACCCACCCACACTCTAATCGTTCTTCCTGGTCAGTGTCACAGGGAGACAGAGAGCCTATGCAAAGCAGCATAAGGCTGCGATAAACCCTGGATGGGATGAGCCTTGTTGTAATTTCCTTCAAATGGAACAAAATGGGAAATGGAGGTGGCATAAACATCTAAGTCATAAAATATGATCAAGAGTCGACTCCAGGTCACGGTAGAAAGAAACATCATTTCAGCGCCCCCTAGTGGTTGCGATTAGGGTAGAGGCATATAAGCTGAGAAAGAGATATTTGTCATTTAGAAAACAGTCATTTCCCAGAATCATTAGTAATATTTTAAAATGCCAAACTTAGCCAGAAAAAAAAGGTAAAACACAGTGACCTACAACCACACACCAAGCTTATGCATTGAGCAGCTGTTGGACAAACGTACCTGTTACAAGCGCCGTAATGCTAGTTTCAGCAGCAGTGCTAACACTAGTATGGTAAAACGTGCAATTGTGTACACTATTACAGCGCTAATGGCCTCCGTTTGGCATTCCAGGTGGCAGAGTGTTGCCAGGAGAGACACTGCAATGACACCCTTCATGATTCAGTGAAAACAGGCACCTCTGTACATCCCCAAGGCTTAAAACAAGAAAATGCAGCCAAATGATGGAATCTATGAAGTTTTTCCCTAATTGCTGTCCCACTTCAAGCACCTCCAGCCGAGAGAAGCCCCACATGGCGTCAGCCTCTGACGCCACCTGGTGCCAAGCGTGTGGAATTGAAAGCCTACGGGCTCTGAGTTGGTGATTTAGGTATGGAAGTTCAACTGTTGGGATTGTTTTGCTCAGCTCCTGCCTCTGTTGGTTTTGCAGTAGAAATCTGTATGTTTATGAGCTCTTTTCCAGCTTGCTGTGTTGCTTCTTCCATTCCTTTGGATCACCATCTGCTGCGGCCTTTATTTCCCGTAGATGAACTACGCAGCAGTTCATCCTTATACCCAGGAATTTGACAATCAGGGAGAACCTTCTCCTCGCGCGCCTTTGTTTCATGACATGTTGTTCATTTACCCTTTTTACATGCAAAACTATCACTCACAAAGTGACTTCAGCAATAAAAGATGAGGAATCAAGGCAGGAAGTCTTGACACAGAAGAAGGTTATAAAAACACGTGATGGAGTTTAGATGCCGATCTTGGCACAGATCACATTAACAGTGTCAGACATTTCTCAACACTAGTATTAAACCTGCTATGTTTTCCAGCTGTCTTTATAACTAGTTATTTAGAGCTTAACATTCACATTAGGGGTTTATCTGTCTAAGAACTGGAATAGTGCTAGTTATGTCCACTAGAGGGCAACATAAAGCTTGCTCAAAAATGGCCGGGCTATCCTCACTGCAGTCAGGGACGAGGGTATCTTACATTACTGTTGTGGTAAACAAAGATTACCACATGTGCTAACCACTGACCATAGAGGCAGACAGTCACAACAATTAATAATCAATATGTATATAATATGTATAGACAGATTCCTGAATCTATAAGGAATATTATATACATCCGAACGCAAACACATGCACAAGGAGTTTCAACCCTATTTAAAAATACATGATTTTCCCCATCTGTCTGCAGGCCAACAGTCAAATAAAATAAACATCACTTAGACAGAATGCTCCACCCCCCAGTGTGGGAAGTGTGTTGATCCCTTAATTCTGCATGAGCCTCTTGGGCAGCCTCTAAAGGATGTGACAGGGCACAGAGGGTCACTGGATTATAGGGGGTGAATACAGTGCCCCCTGTGTTCCTGGCACAGAGATTCAGAGAGGAAAGCAGGACACAGAATTATCCTGCTGCCCACAATGAGGACAGCACTCACAGGGTATGTTCCATAAACGGCGCCCATGAGCCACCTGCACGGCTGAAGTGTGGCCATGTGATAGTCCACCTCAGCAAAACCAGTCGAGTACTAAACAGAAATATGAGAAAAATTTGTTTGTGCAAGGGAAACTGACCCAGTTTTATCTTACTAGGAAAGTACCGCAGTCCTAGGCCCACAAAACTGTTTTTATTCAGGAGCAGAAATAGAAGTGTCCTGAGACTACTGAAATGTAGCACTGTTATTATAGTAAGGCTGTGAAGATGTTAGACTAAATGACAAGGGGACTGTCACCCTATCATTACAGCAGGGCTGCAAGAATAGTAGTCATGTGACCAGAGGAATGTTGCCATGATGTTACAATATGGCTGTGAGAATGATGTCACATGACCGGGGAAACACTGTCTCAATGTTACAATAAGGTTGTAAGAATGATGTCACATGACTGGGGAAACATTGTCCTATGTTACAATAAGGCTGTGAGAATGATGTCACATGACCGGGAAAACACTGTCCCAACGTTACAATAAGGCAGTGAGAATGATGTCACATGACTGGGGAAACATTGTCCTATGTTACAATAAGGCTGTGAGAATGTTGTCATGTGACCGGGAAAACACTATCTCAGCGTTAGAATAAGGCTGTGAGAATGTTGTGCTGCACATAAACACCATGCTCAAGTGTCCTGGGAATTTAACCTGTATTCTTTTGTCTACGGATCCAGTCTGTTGACGGCTATGGGAAAACACTCCCCAAGCGCACTGAGACCCAAAGGCTTAGCTTACTGAAATCACAGCGAGCCGAAGATCTCAGTGAGAGATGGGATCGTGTTACACATCATCAG